GAAAAAAAGTGGCAAAATTGCCACTTTAGTGGCACAACGGTCACGCTGCATCCAGCTACCGTTATTGAATATATAAATCCCATAAACAATGAGATTTGGCGTGGTTCTCCCTTTGTTTTGTGCTCACTCTCTCAGAGGTTTTTTTCTGCATGCTTTTTTATGCTATTAATTTACAATTTGCAAATAACTGTATGCCACTAATGCACAAAATAGTACGATAGCGGTGATGGCTAAACAAGTTTTCTCTTTTCGTCAGTCATTTTTGACGATGATTTCTCAATTACGCTCTCACACAGTTACTCTCAATTTAGTTATGTTCCACACTGCTGTATGCATAAAAAACAACAACACAGTAATCATTGGTTGGGGGTATTTTTTAACATCCTTGTATTTCCCTTTTTTGCAATTACAGGGTGTTTTTTGGTTAACTAATGTCCTGCAATCATTGTTGGCGGCATTGACACAGTGCACTGCTATGCGTGCTCTCTATGCAATACTCATTTACAAAAAAATGCAAACATTCATATACACCCTCACTCTCTGGCTCAGTGTTGACGATGATGTATTTGTTGTTGCTGTAATAAACCAACCAACTACCCAGTAAAGCAATAACAACGAAGTCGCCTGTTTTTTGACATGCGAGTGGTTAATCGTGTGTTTTTTATATTTCGTGTTTTTTCTTGTTTTCTTTTTATCTTTCCCATTCAACAATATTCCCTGATTCCTTTTGTGTGCCATATCCTGCCACACTATGGATTTGTTTATCATTTGACAACGAGAGTACATCTGTTTGTTGTTGGTCCATTGGTTATTTAGTAACAAAGTGTGTGTGTTCGTCCGAGTGTGGTCAAACGGCGCGTAATGTTTTTCTTTTTTTTTGCAACGACCTGTAGTTTTTGTTGTTTCTTCTCACTCTCTTTGTGCAGAGTGTATTGTGTTGTTGCTTTCTTGCATTGGCTAATGGTGGTTAGTGACCGTGTTTATATATTTATTTGACTTTTTTTTAAATAGAATTTACTACTGTATATTAGTTTTGTTGTTGTTATTTATTGTTTTTATTACTCTTGTGTTATTGTTTGGCGTTTTTTTTGTTATAGTGCTTGCTCTTGTTTGTAAAATGAGTATATGTAATTTGAATGAAAATTGTCGGAAGGAAATTATGCATGACCCGGGAGTGTCAGGTGAAAAGAAACAGCTGATGGTTTGTTTGTTTTTTGATTTAATAATAACGTGTTGAGAGTGGAATTTAATTTGTGAGTTAAATCGGGAGGACTGTCAACAGAATGGGATGAAATTTATGTTGGGGTTAATAAATAAAAAAATGAAGGACAAGGATGTTGAAAATATTTAACAATTTAAGAACAGCAAAAAAAAAAACACAGTAAGGAAAGTAGTAAAGTCGAACTGTGCCGACTATGTAATACCCTTCACTATTTTGGAATACATACATATGTAGAATAATGTATCCTAAAAGACGTCGCCTTTTTGAAAGAACTTTGACATGAAACTGAACGAACTTAAATATGTGATCTTTATCTACATATATCTAAAACGATTAACATCAATCCCTACACATGTCATTCTGCAACCTATGCTAAATTTTGTAAATCGATGCGTCAAACAAACTTGAACTTCGCTAAAATCGGTAATTTGCAGCGACATTTAAAATGATAGCAACCATTTGCTTCAATTGACTCCCAAAGACTCGTTATTTGGTGTACAATTAACATGCATAAGTCGAAATTATATATGGAAGCTATGGTATATCTAAATGTGAACGGATTTCAAGGAAACTTGAAGAGATTAATTTATATTAACTTCTTTGGACGTTGTGTCGAAAGGTATCATTCATTGCGGTTGATGGAGCTGGTAGCTTGAATGCAATACCAATTTGAACTGAGTGACCATTTGAACGATATAAGGCAACTGAACGAGGTGAACGACCTACTTCAATTTTAAAAAATGAGCGGATGAAATTTGGCGATATTTATTTCCAAAGTCGGTCGACAAAGTGGCTAAAATTCTGTGGAAGTTAGAAAACTGATTATAAAGCATTTCGAAGGCGGTAAATCTGTCCGAAATATTGGTAAAATCGTGGATAGAAGTCATTCCACGGTTCACAAAATTATAAAACGCTATAAGTCATCCAATTCAATTGAAAATTAACTATATTGTGGCAAGAAACGGACATTTCCTGACTCGGACAGCAAATTAACAAAAATCCTTGGATAAGAATCGATTATGGTATGGACCTGCAAAACTTTGTATTATTGAGGAAATTTTGGTCGACAAAAAGTTAAAATTCTGTGTAATTTAGAAAAATGATTATAAAGATTTCCAAATCACAAAGCTTTGATTTGAAATATTGTAACATCTGTGGTGTCATTGGACGACAGTTCACAAAAAAAAACGCATATATCCAATTCAAAAAAAGATTAACTATATTGTGGCTAAAATTGAACCTTAAACTACCCATTATTCGGAATTTTGTGGCTTTTGGCAAGTTTTGAAACAAATTGGCAATAATTTGACAATAATTAATAATCCCCTAAAATTTGGGATTTTTAATATCAACCGGGTTTATATAATGGGTTTATTATATTCAAATTTTTCCACTTGTTATTGAAATCTCAATTTTTTGCTTACCGTTTTTTTCCTGCTCACATTGGCGCTAATTTTTTGGCAGTTTTTTTTGTACCCACAAAAAATTGCTGAAAATTATGTTTTATCGGAAACTGCAAAAAATTCGTTCTTTTTGGCCAAAAGCGCCATCCAATTTAGATTGAAAAATAATTTATATTAAAAAGTATATTCAAGTAATTGTTTTTTCGCTTACTAATGAAGAAGACAAAATACCAAAATCGCTTTTTTAATAGCTCCCTTTAAATGCACTTCTTGCTGAATTTGTGTTTAAATACCGGTAAACTGTTTTTTGTTTAATTTTATTTCTTTTGTTAATTCTTTACATGCTTTCAAGCCAATTTTTTTTTGTTGTTTGGAAAACATTTCCTATATACAAAAAATTCAACGTTCAAACGAACTACTTTTTGTTTAAGACCACTAGCTAGGTTAGTGAGCTGTAAGTAGTACAGTGGAGGCGAAAAGTTGGCAGCTATGCGATTTTTAAGTTGATATGCAATGGTACATCAAAATATCAAATAACAGCTAATTCCATTGAAAATTTTCTTAAAATTCCCAGAATAGCGAATTATGGGGATGACCGTTATATGGGGCCTACCATGAAACTTAAGTCAATATTGATCATTTTTTGCATAGAGATTTCTATACAAAAGTAAATCCAATATACTAAATTTTACCCAATTTAGTCGAAAATTCCGAAATTTGGGAGATATTGTTATATGGGGGCTATCCGAAAAAGTGGACCAATAATGATACATTTTGTTGGAAAGATTTGCTATACAATGATAACCCAAAATACCAAATTACAGCCAATTCGGTAGAAGAACGTGCCCAAAATAACCACTATATCGAAAACTTAGGTGCACCGTTATATGGGGGCTACCTTTAAATGTAGACCAAAATTTATGATTTTTGGTATTTTGATTTTCTACTCAATGAGAGCCCATAATATCAAATTACAAACAATTTGATTTAAAAACGTGCCCAAACTAAACAAAATACGGAAATTCGGGAGGTACGGCTATATGGGGAATTGCCTAAAAAGTGGGTGAATATTGATAATTTTTGGTGGAAAGATTTTATATCCAATGATAGTCCAAAATACTACATTACAGTCAAATCGGTTGAAAATTGTGCCCAAAATAACCAAAATACGGAAATCGGGAGGTATGGTTATATGCGGAACACCCTAAAATGTGGATGAATATTGCTAATTTTTGGTTGAAGGATTTGCTATCCAATGAGAACCTAAAGTACCAAATTGCAGCCATTTCGGTTGAAAAATACACCCAAACTAACAAAAATTACAGAAATTCGGAAAAGTACGGTTATATGGGGTATTAGCCAAAAAATTTTTGTTGGAACATTTGCTACCTCATGAGAACCCAAAATACCAAATTACAGTCAAATGGGTTGAAAAATATAACCAAACTAACAAAAATACAGAAATTCGGGAAGGTACCGTTATATGTGGGTAACCCTAAAAATTAAAAGAACTTTGAAAATTTTTGGTTGGAAGTTTTGCTACCTCATGAGAACCCAAAATACAAAATTGAAGTCAATTCGGTTGAAGAACTAGCCCAAATTACGAAATTGCGGGAGCTAACGTTATATGGGGGCAACCCTAAAAATTGGATCAATATTGATAATTTTTGGTTGGAAAGTTTGGTACCTTATGGTAAACCAAAATACAAAATTGCAGTCAAATCGGTTGAAAAAATGTGTCCAAACTAACCAAAATACGGAAATTAGGGAGGTACCGTTATGTGGGGACTAGCCTAAATAATAGACCAAAATTTATAATTTTTGGTAGGAAAATCTACTACCCAATGAGAACCCCAAATATATCAAATTACAGCCGATTTTGTTGAAGAACGTGCCCAATATAACCAAAATACCGAAATTTGGGAGGTACCGTTATATGGGGACTAGCTTAAAAAGTAGACCAATATTTACAATTTTTGGTAGGAAGATCTGTTACCCAAAGAGAACCCAAAGTACCAAATTGCAGCCAATTCGGTTGAAAAATGTGCCCAAACTAACCAAAATACCGAAATCTGGGAGGTACCGTTATATGGGGGCTACCCTTTAAAGCGCATCAATAATGATACTTTTTGGTAGGATAATATGCTATCCCATGAGAACACAAAATAGTAAATTACAGCCAAATTTGCTAGAAACCGTTTCCAAAACATTGAATAATGGAGATAGGGTTATGTGAGGGCTATTCCGAAACTTGGACTGATCTATCCCATTTTCAATACTAAATATCTTAGGAAGAGTATTAATGTATGTGCATTATTTCAAAGCTCTATGTACATTTGCATTTTTTCTGTTTCTAATTTTATTTATTGGTTTAGGTCTCACACTTTTGCCCACCACTGTAAATTTTTATTATATAAATTTTTATTCGGCTCATTATATAGTCCATTTTACGTACGTACATAACGCAAACTCGCAATCGTATGTACATTGAAAGTATTACGCATAAATTGCATTTTGGTGGCCATAATATTATTGGAGGTTTTTTCTTTTGGTGGTGGGGCCATGATGCTTGGTCAACAAAAAATACGCAATAATTTTATGAATGAAAACTTTTTTGTAGCCTAAAATGTTCACTTAACAAAAAAATACTAAATAACAATTTCTTTCTTTTTTTCTTTGGTTCTTTGCAGAGTTGGTAACTTTGGTGACAATTGGTGGCGAAACATTTAGTTTTTATCCGGAAATCATTGAAAGCGAACGCGTTAATACGCTCCAGCCCAAAAGCGCTCCCAACAAATGAACCGTAGTTGATTTTTTCAATTGTGGGTTCAATAAACCTCCCAACACCGCGCTCAGTCTGAGTGTGTGTCTGTTTTACAAAAAATTGAAACTACACTACCTTTTATGGCTGATATATCAGCCCTTACGGCTTTAGCAGCTGCCTCATCAAACGTCTATCATCATCATCATCATCATCAAGCGGCATCTAGTGGCGGCGGCGGAATCGGCGGTACTGCTGGCCTAAACGGAACGGCAGCCAATAATTTACACAATCTACATCATCGTCGTCCAACAATCGATCAATTACGTTCAATGAATGATCGCAGTGTCTTGTCGTCGCTGAGTCACTTGACTACAGCCGATTTGCGTACAGCCCAATTGGTCCACGAATACAATAAACCCTTCAATATTAATGAGTTTCGTCAAAATGTTGAACGTTTAGATTATTCGTTGAAAAATGGTTTGGTAGGCGTTAATTTGCAGCAGCAGCAACAACAACAGCAGCAACAGCAATTGGTTGCAGAACATCAACAACAACAACAGCAGCAACAGGCTCACGAACAACAACAACAGCAGCAGCAACAGCATCTACAACAACAACAGTTAAAACAATCGTACAGTCCGCCAAATTCACCGCCAACACCGAATATGACCGAACAGCCGGAACAGAAGGTAAGTTATGTCCGATTCAAAATTGGACACGATCGTTTTTATTATATAGCCCTGCACCACATTGGACAGGGTGACCTTTATGACTATAACTAATAACATTTTTAAATCGGGCAAAAATATAGTTGGGCGCCATATCCAAATTTCGGCCTATTTAAAGCAAACTTAGTACACATAATTCTAGGCTCAGTTCGGTTGCCTGTGCTAAATTTTGTGTCGATCGGACAGCATTACCGCCTTTAGTGCACAATTTTCTTGCACTTAGGAGAAAATATATATAGGAGCTATATAGAAATCTGAACCGATTTAAATCAAACATGACATATGCACTTCTGTACTCAAATTGATCAGCTGTCCAAATTTCGCTTGAATGGGATATACGCAGCACCTTCGGAAAACGATTTTTTTGAAACCGGCAGAATTTATATATGGGAGGTATATCCAAATTTGGATCGATTTTTATCAAACTTGAAACAGGTCATTCTAAGCTAAATTCGCTCGCCTGTGCCAAATTTCGTGTCAATCGGGCAGACATAGCTTCTTTTGGGCGTTATTTAATTAGAACCCGAAGAAAATTTGTATGGGAGCTATACCAAAATTTGAACCGATTGAAACCATATTTGGCACATGTTATTCTAGGTTTGATTTTATTGACTGTGCCAAATTTCGTGTCAATCTGACAGACATAGCCTCTTTGGGACGTTATTTACATGAAATCCGACATAAATATACGAGGGACCTATAACCAAACCTGGACCCATTGAAACCAAACTTGACACACATCTTTCTAGGCTAAATTCAATAGCCTGTGTCAAATTTCCTGACGATCGGACAAACGAAGCGTCTTTAGAGCTACATTTCACTAAAATACGACAAAAATATATATGGGAGCTATATTCAAATTTACATCGATTTAAACCAAACTTGGCACATGTTATTATAAGCTAAATTCGCCCGCTTGTGCCAAATTTCGTGTCAATCGGACAGACATAGCACCTTTTAGAGCTATATGCAAATCTGGACCGATACAATCAGAATTTAGGACACTATATTCTAGATGGCTGCGCCAAATTTCGTGTCAATCGGACAGACGTAGCATCTCTGGGGCATTATTTACCTTAAATCCGATGAAAATATATAAAGGACCTATATCGAAATCTGGACTGCTGCAAATAGAATTTAACGTTATTCTAGTTTTAATTCAGATGGCTGAGCCAAATTTCGTGTCAATCAGACATAACATCACTGGGGCGTTATTTATCTGAAATCCTACGAATATGAGGCCGTTATATCGAAATATGTACGGATTTAAAACAAGCTTGTCACTCTTCCTTCTAAACCCTATTCGGTCACCCATACCAAATTCCGGACAGATATAACCTCTTTGAAGTGTAATTTTCCTTCAAATCCGACGAGACTATACATGGGCGCTATATTCAAATTTGGACCGATTTGCACAAAGTTCAGTAGGCTTTGTGGTGGCCTTACCAAATTTTATCGCAATCGGACAATTAATGGGATCTATACTCTTTAATAGAGAAATGTGTGGACAGATAGGCGAATAAACTAGCGGACGGAATTTACGGATAGAAAGTGTATCAAAGAATATGCAAAAATCCAACATCGGATCTATCTTGTGGTGTAGGATATAATTTATTTAAAAGTTTCCCTATTTCAAAATTCCTCAAATATCCTTTTTTGTTCTCTCTGCCAACTCTCTACTAATTTTCTTCTCTCTCCTCCTCTTTCCAGTACGATCCCAACGCTGCAATGCAACAGCAACAACAACAGACAACGCAACAGAAATCACATCGATCACATCATCATACCTCACCGGATGGCCGCGAGACCAAACCCTACAAATGTACCCAATGTACCAAATCGTTTGCCAACTCATCGTACCTCTCCCAGCATACACGCATCCATTTGGGCATTAAACCCTATCGCTGTGAAATTTGCCAGCGGAAATTCACCCAGCTGTCACATCTCCAACAACACATACGCACCCATACCGGTGATAAACCCTATAAATGTCGTCATGCCGGTTGCCCCAAGGCCTTCTCACAACTCTCTAATTTGCAGTCGCATTCGCGGTGTCATCAGACCGACAAACCCTATAAATGTAATTCCTGCTACAAGTGTTTCACCGATGAAATGACCCTGCTCGAACACATACCCAAACACAAGGATTCGAAACATCTGAAGACCCACATTTGTAATTTGTGCGGTAAATCCTACACCCAAGAAACATATCTGGAAAAGCATTTGCAAAAACACGCCGAGAAGGCGGAGAAGCAACAGCAGCGTCATTCAAATTTGAACGTGCAACATCATGTACCGGCTGGCGGGATTGGTTTGAGTTTACAACGGCAGGTGGTAATGAATGCTGCCGCTGCGGGAGATGCTAATGCGGCCTATTGGGCCAAGGTAAGTGCTGATGGGGCGGTAAATGCTGCCACCTTGGCCGAGGCCATTCAACAGCAACAACAGGCCCAGGCCCAACAGCAACAGGCACAAAATGGTTATAACTTTACAACGCTACAACATCAACAGCAGCAACAACAACAGGAATTGCTGCAGCATCATCAACGTTTGGTTAATGGCAATGCCAACGGTAGTGGTGGTGGTGGTGGCGACAGTGCAAACAGTGGCAACACACCCAATCATTCGCAGAGTCCCATCGAACAGGGTGAGGATTTGGTGATACGTCAATCGTCACAACAACAACAGCAGCAGCAACAACATCATCAGCAACAACAACAACAGCAGCAACAATCATCGCATTCACCCAACAATATGGTAGTGGTGAATTCCTCACCGTATGATGTCAAGACCACATCAGCTTTTACACCCATTCCCACGGCACCCAGCCATTTACAGGCGGCAGCATTGGCCCAACAAAGGGCTGCCGCCCCACCCGCTGCAGCCTATATCTATCAACAGAATGCCGCTGCGGCAGCAGGATTCCCGACACAGTTAATATCGTTGCATCAGATACGCAACTATGCCCATCAACCGGGAGCAACAGCAGCCGGACTGCTGGCCGGTGATCATTTGTTGGGTTTGAGTGTTACAGCTGGCGGTGGTGGAGGCGCGGGAAAGGATAAAACACAATAGTATAACTCTCCCTCGTCGTCGCCATCGGCTTCGAGTACAAGTTCATCGACCGCATCATCAACTGTGGTTAAGAGGCAAAAATTGTATCATAATAATGCTGCTGGGGGTGGGGCGGTTTCAGGTGGTGGTAGTTCTGCTGCTACTTCGTCAAACTATGAAACGCAACAACAACAACAACAATCACAACGTCAAGTTAAAAACTCTTCGGCTGCGAACGAGGAAAGCTGAACAAGGTTAGGTGTATAAACAAAAAACAACAGGAGCTGTAGTCGGAGCCCCACCATACCAGCAGATATCAGTTTGCCACAACCTTCCACCAACTTCCAAACAAAAACACCTCCCTCTACTTAGATTTTTAGTAGGCTAAAAATGTAGAAACACAAACAGATGAAGTAGAAAAAGGCGTCATTGAAAATGTAACAGAAATATGCAAAACAAAGCAAATCACATATAAATCCTGTATCCTGTAGTATATCAAAATCCTTTAGAAAAGTAAGAGTAAAAATCTAAAAAAACAATTTGAAATTGTTTTGTATACTTTCTATATATTTTAATATTATTTTCTGTATTTTAATTTACGAATATAATTTGTAATAGAGTTGTAAAATTTTGAAATATTTTCCTTATGCGAAAATGGAAATTGGAGAAAGTAGGGGGTTTTCTGGACAATAGATTTTATTTCAGAATTAAGGGAGGATAACATTAAAGGTTTAGCTCATTATAAACTATGTTGGACCATTGATATTTCTTTCAAAATATTTTCAATTGGACATTTAGGACGTTTAAGTATAGCCAATGGAGGTTTATTTTTTAAGGGCACCAGATTGCTTAAAGCTACAGAAAGTGCGTGTTTGTCCTAAGGTCTTTCCACAACTCTAATTTGCAATCGCATCCGAGTTGTCATCAAACCGACAAACCCTTTAAATGTAATTCCTGCTACAAGTGTTTCACCGATGTAATGACCCTGCTCGAACACATACCCAAACACAAGGATTCGAAACATATGAAGACCCACATCTGTAATTTGTGGGGTAAATCCTATAACCAAGAAACATATCTTACAAAAACATGCCGAAAAGGCGGAGATTCTCTCATTTTTATAATTAGGGATATGATTCGAATGAATATTTAGGGCATTACAAACCAAGCGCTATTGAGACATTTTTTAATTAGGTTATTCGTTATTCATAACTTGTAAAGATGTATATGGCCTTAGATGGGACCTTTGTCGAAATTTGACCACACGCTTCCATGATGCCAACTTGCTGATATAACCTATGTTGTTCCTCTTTAGGGGTAGCTATCATATAAAAATACCTCCCAAATTTCAGTATTTTGGGGCATTTTGACGCGCTTTCCATCCCAATGGTCTGTAATTTAATATTTAGGGTTCTCATTGGGTATTTAATACCAATATCGGTCCACCTGTAGACCCCTTCCGGAAATAAAATTTTCCTAAAATATTGCTCTAGAGATTATAAAACAAAATAAAATATTTATTTTCTTGATATTAGAAGTAATTTAAGTCTATATTTTGGAATAGTTAACCTCACTTTTCTATGTTAAAAAAATCGGAAATTTATAATTTTATAGAAAAATTATTACAGTTGTAAATCAAAAAAATGGTAATTCATGAATCTTTTTTCTAACTTTAAATTATGAAAATATTGAGGTTATGTTAACTAACCTCTATAATTTTGAGGTGTTAACCTAACCTCAATTTGTTTTAGATTATTCCACATTTTTGTTCTGTTTTTCCATTTCGAACAAAACCAATGTTATTAGTTCAAACTTAAATCGAAAAACTAGCCGAGTTAAGAATAGCAAGTGAAGACTATGTCGTATAGAAGAATAGTTTCGATTGCAGTGGACATGAAATATCGTTAGGTTTTGTTCGACATTGAAAAACAAATGTTCACCTTATTTAAATATATCAGAGGTAAACTTCACCCTTTCTTCAATTTCCATTCATTCCGGAGGTAAACCCCCTTTCTTCTAAAGTTTATCAGCCTGCTTGTGTAAAATTCGAATCGACACGTTTGGTAGCAAACACAATCCAATTCATTCGGTTTTTGAATCTTACATGAATAGGCTGAACATTTTGATAACAAAACTCAGGTTAATTTTTCAGCGGAAAAGAATTTTTCATTTTTATAAGTTGCAGGATTACAACTTATAAAAATCTTTAAATGTTCCGTTTTTAATATTTGATTTGATAAAGTTCTTTTTTAAAAAAATCGTCCCTTTAAGTTTTAATACAAATTATATATGATCACGGGACTGCGATCTGATTTGAGTTTCCGCACTAAAAAGTTTCCCAAATATTTTTATGTAAATTGATATTTTATATAATGGGACTTACAACACTGTTTAAAAAATATATCTATACAAGATTCATCAATATTCTCCTGGTGGGAATAAAACATTTATTAAGAATTAATTTAAAGGAAATATTAAAAATATATAAAATAATATATTAATAATTATATTTAAATTAAAAAAAATATATATTAAAAAACCATTTCCTTTAAATTAACTCTTAATTTGTAAACATTTTTAAACAAAAACTAACTCTTCCAAACATACTTAGATATTTTATTTTTTATTATTTATATTATTTTTTAATTTAAGAATCCCCACTCCTCTATCTTCCCAAATATATGTTTCAACCTCACGTGTACTCATTTCTTTAATAAAAATTAAAAATTTATAAATATGAAATTATAAAAATATTCTTTTAAAATGTATATTTAAATAATTATATATTTATATATAAAAAATAAAAACAAAAAAAAAAACATATTGTATACTTGATTTTGGAGTTGAAAATGGTACCAAGTACTGTTAACATTTCAAATGTTTTTAATTTAAAAAAATATAATAATTTAAAAAAACAAAACAAGTAATTTATTTCCCTATTATTTTTGTAAAAAGAAAAATAACCATTAATTTTATTATTAATAATTATATGATTTTTAACATACCTGGTCTTGTATGTATTCAAAATATATATAAATAAAAAATAGATTTAGAAAAAATACAACAAATTATTATAATAAAGAAAAAACACACAAAAATCTAAAAAAAAACAAAAAAAATATTATTCATAAAATATTAATTAACTATTATTAAATAATATGATTAATAATAATTAAACAAATACATATTATTAGAGAAACATAAACAACAAATCCCCACAATTAATGATTTCAAATAATTTTAAAATAATAGCATTGTTGTACATCCATAACTATGTATAACTAATTGTATGTATGCTAATAATAAAAATTATAATAAATTATATACATGATTTTTTATTTAACATTTGTTTTTAAAACTCACTCCTTTTTTATATAAATATATAAATACTTTATATATTACATATATATATAAATTATAAATACACCCCTCCCACACATACATATATATTTGATACCGTATATATATATATAATACATAAATTGATATAAAGTTACCTTAAAACTTTTATTTTTAGTTATTAATTAATTTCTCTTGTATTTATCTAAATATAAAGTAATAATAATGAAAAAAAACCTACAACAACAAAAATAAATCTGTATGTATTTTAGCATATAAATAATAATACTTATTATAATTAATAATAATTAATATAAAAAACAACAACAATCATATGTAAGCTACATATATATAATTTTATTGCTAAATAAATAAAAGAAAATCTTTAAAAAGTATTTCATAAAAAATATACATATGCGAATTTTGTTCGGAAAGGTGTTTTATTTATTTGTTTGATAACTAAGAATAATAAGGTATATTTCTTAGGACAAAAAAAAGAGATTAGTCTTTAATAGGTGGAGAGACCTTCATTTCTATTGAATCATAAATTAAAGTGTTCGAAGATCTAGTCAATAAATTAAGAATGACTCCTTTATAGATTATAAAGACTTTCTTTCTTAAGAATACGAGGACTACCACATATATTTTTAGCCTAATAATAAAAATTGGAATATTTACCAAAGCCAATAAAAATACGTTAAGTTCGGTTGAACCTATCATGAGGTGAACATTAAAAATATTTAAAACCGACCGAGACTTTTATATAGGGACTATACCATAGTAAATTGGTGACAGGAGAAAAGGAAAAACTAAACTACATACAGTCATGTTGGAAAATTTGACTAGAACTTTGAACAATCCGAAAGTGTCGCGTGACTTTTGTATGATGGGCTGCTTCGTAATGCTTTAAAGGGCTTGAACCATTATAAGAAGTCTATAGCCAAAGATCAACCGATGTTTTAAATTTTTAGTGGGAATATTTTCAGCTTAAGGAGAACTCAAAATATTAAATTAGAGCCGACTCAAAATTACAATAATAAGGGGGGTACCGTTGTATTTTAAATATATAACTGATCAGTAGTGTTTGGCGGGTTATTTGGGATACCATTTGTATTTTGTTCAGTGGCGATGATGAGGATCAGTGGCGAGATCCGAAACTATAGTCTTCCCTGCCTTACCCCTCGGCGGACAATGCCATACATTCCCCACTAATAAATAGTTGTTTTTTTTATAAAAACAACAAACTGGGATTATTGACTATTTTGCAAAAACAAAATATATAACTGATCATTGACTGTAGAGTCGGCGAAAGGTGTGGCGTTGACTTCTGATCCGAAGCCTACCCCGAGTCAAAAGGTTATGGACATATGGTTGAGTACATACCGAAAACAACTGAGACCCATGATGGTGATCGATGTGTGACGTACTCTGTCTCAAAAGCCGTTTTTACGCCAATTAGCAAAGGTGAAGCGATTGGTAGCAATGTACTTAGTAAAAAATGCAGAATCTCAACCTCACTACTTCGAGTTGGCCTGTTATCAGTCTAACGCCTTGTAATGAGGGTGGGGGGAGTTGACCCCCTAAGGGAGGTTTATTTCAAAGAGCGCGATGGAAAATTGAACTTCGGTTCAGGATGGGTGCGGTTGCGCTGAGCCGCAGAACTACTCATGTCCCTCACAAACTCTAAAGTGGACATTGTATTGGTTCAGGAGCTATATATATATATAAATGATTTCTGGATTAAGAAATGCCAATTTCGATATCTTCG